TTCGAACTGTTTCTATTAAAGTTAATTTATCGCCAGGGCGTAACACACTACTCATAAGATTGCTGAAAACTCTTCAATAGCCCACGACTGGTTTCACTCATCCTATTCGGACTCATCAGGCAGGCGCACTCTCCGAATTTCCGTCGACTTTATGTTCTAATTGAAACCGACTGGAACAAATTATGGTGGTCAATTGAAGCGGACCGTCAGAGATTCAGCTGGATTCTGTCAGAACCAAATTAGTGTGCAGATGAGTGTAATAAGTTGCGTTAACTTTTCGGTTTGTTGTGTCCAGCGGAGTTCGTCCCTTGACTTTCAATAGAGATCCACATAATCAATAAAGTTTCAAGTAAAGTTCATTTTGACGCGTGACACAACACACGAAGGCTTATCAGGACGGGAACCGGCAGTCAATTCGAAGATGTTCGAGGCGGGCCGTTGGGATGGCAGCCGGCAGTCCCTTTGAAGATGTTCGAGGCGGGCCGTTGGAATGGCAGTTCATTAAGTATTTTCACTCGGCAACATGGACGCAACTTTAAGTGCCTGGTAATAGGTACAAAACGCTTAGGGTGCAGATTGCAGGCAACTAGTTGTACGCGATCAGTTTTAGCCCGAAAAAACGGCGAGAAAAGGTTGGTTGCATGTAAAGTGATGATGATGATGATCGTTCAGCTGTAAAACTCTTTCGGTGTCTAGATGTCACGCCACCCGAAGGAGGCATGAGGGCTGGGATACTGTCAGGTTGCCCAAGCCTAGACAGGGGAGTCAAGAGGTCGGGTTCGAACCACGGACCTTCCGGTCGGTAACTTCGCGCTCCGCCCGCTGAGCCATCTATCTTCCTTTGCATAAAATTCGGAATGCAAATGAAGAAGTGGCTTAGTTAGGCGCGATGCGATCAAAACAAAAAGTGGATTGAAATTAGATTGAATGAACTGTCTAAGGACATGTATGATTGTAGATCTGGTTGGAAAAAACGGCCATGCTCCCCTCCGTCCCTTGAAAGCGCACTGATGATGGGGATGAAACTCATGCAAGCAAATTGTACAAACCAAAGATCATCAAACGAAACGATGAGGCTTCGAAAAGGTACCTTGAACAGCTTCTCGATCAAATGTGGCTTCTGCAACCAAAACATTGCCAACTCCAATATGGCTGGGTTGAAAGATACCGGTAAATCTTTCAGCTTTACGACCTGATCGGACGGTGCGTCCAGCCACAGCTTTACCAAAGCGACGTTGTCTTGTTCCACAGATGACTGTATAGCCTCCTGAATTAGCCGTTCTGCATATAACCGAGCTTCTGTGGCTTCTTGCCAGGCTAACTCGATCCGTTCCTCGTCGAATAAGGCGGACAGCGTACGCCTTAGCTGAAACATCCTCCCCTCGGGACCTCCGCCAATACCCTCACCACGAGGAAGTCTTTGACTCTTCTCTGGAACCGGGACACGTAGTCTAGTGACGGCGGACCCGAACGGAGTGACATTTTGAGTTCGGTTTTCCCCAACAGATGCACGACGAGTGGAATAAAGGGACGGGGAAGTGCCATAGGCACTGTTCAGTAACAATAGGGCGTGACGTGAGCGAAGCTAAAATGAAACGAAAGGTTAGGTGAAAATTGGTTTCATATGGATGATGCCATACAAGCTTATCAATCCCATATCCCAAGAAAGCGACCGCTGGTATACGCATTCCTGACTTGCTATGGTTTATTACAGCCAGGATAAGCCATGTGCCACCCAGTGCTAATGTATCAAGGATCGCATACAGAGTACTGAACTTCAGATGCATAAACTAGTGCATTGCATTTCCCAGACAATGAACCTATGCACACAGTTCAGCCATCACAAACCTGACCTGTTCATTAGGCGACCTTGTAGGGTTGATGAGACAATTTTGAACGGCACCGCTTAGGCGTCCGAGCATTCGGAGGACATTTGGGCCCAGAATCGTCACCACAACCTACAACAACAAATAACGACCGTAGCTTTCGAGAAATACACCCGTTTGCAAATCAATTTGGTTTTCACGAGAGACTCAACTCAATCTCTCGTTTATGATATTCTACAACTGAATTTGATGCGCCTACCTGATGAACCGGTCGTGGGCTGTCGAAGAGTTTTCAGCAACCTTGTGAGTAGTTTCCTTTATGAAAACAACCGTAGCTGTTGGGACCAGAGTTAAAGATGGGCCATCAAAACCTCACCGAGGAATAAGGGTTCTCAGTTGACCCATCTGGTTTCCTCGTCTTGTTTTAGGTGGCCCACAAGGGGTGAACAACTTACAAACAAATGGCTACCTAAAACCACAGATACGAGTTAACCTTTGGACAAAAGACAGAACAGCTGTCTCTTGAAGACACCAAAATCGAGGGGGTCTGAGTTGCTAACGACTAATCGGCAAAATAATACGTTCGGATGGAGACTTGAAATGCAAGAGACAAACTACAGGCATAGTAGGTGCTTCTGTGAACGGAGAACGAACTGATTATGAATAAGATATGTTTCAGATTCACCAAGCAACGCCTTTGCAGGATCACATGTAAGATAAAGACACAGGATGAGGAAGTATAAGGCACCACGACTGGCGATCTTCATACGAGGGAGTAGATTACAACGAGCACTAACGAGCACACGCTACAGGTGAGTTTGACAGTTACGTCTGAAAACAAATTTGTATTCGTCAAGCGCTTTCAGTTGCAGAATAATTTGGTTTTCACGGAAGACTCAACTAAATCCCAAATTCCAGGGTTAGAGACAATAATCCCAAAGCTAAGAATCCCGACGCCTGGAACGGAATAAAGCAATACAACATACCAAATGTATCGAAAACACGTAAACATGTTTGCCGGTAATCAATGTTTCTATGGCCAACATGTTCTAGGAAATAACTTCCTTAGGGAGTGCGAAACGGAAGAGCCCTGTGGTGCATTGTCCCTGCACATTGGAAAACTCATCTTGGGTGAGCTTTGATTGGATTGGTTGAAAACTTAGGCTCGAACACTCATGTAATCTAGCCGGCGGGACACTTAACCGTTTCACTACAGACTGAAGGAAACTAGGATGGATGAATTAAACTCACATGGTTATCCAGAGCTCACATACTTCGGGGGGAGGGGGGGCTCGTAGCTCTCACAGCCTACTACGGGTCACTATCTCTAGTACTTCCACAAGCCGACGGGCAGGATACCAAAGCTAGCCATCGTCGCCCAGTCCCACAGTGTTAGGAAGATGTAGTAAAACATGAAGGTGATAGTGACAAAGGAGAACAGGACGGATTACGGAAGCAACAAGAGCAGCTGGAATCAATCCGGTGATCACTGGATGCCACACCCAATTTGCCTTCATTTTCTACAAGGCAGTTTATAGTTTTAGATGGAGGACACAGAAGAAGAGTGGTCGATGGTGTCGGTGGACATGGAACTGTGCTGTATGTTTCATGTCAAATTTAGCAATTCTTAAATTCGAACAGACGAAAAATTCCCACCATCAAACATACGTAAATATCCCACCCTAGATCGAGAAATACATCACCAGCGAGTGGACGAGATCCCGTTCTGAAATTACCTCAGGGTCAGTGCAAGTATGATGCAAACTGTTGGAATAGGATCATCTCGTGGAAGCGTCAGGTAATCTCGGTCACGATAGAGTGCTTACGGAATGACGACTTAAAAACAATCGTTTAGCCTAGATGTCATGCCACCCGAATGAAGCACGAAAGCTGAGATATCACCAGGTCACCCAAGTCTAGACAGGAGCATTCCGAATGCTAGGCTCGAACCACGGACCTTCCGGTTAGTAAGCGAGATGGGCCAAGCGCGAATTTGCTGACCGGAAGGTCCGTGGTTCGAACCCGACCTCTGCCTCTTGACTTCCCCTGTCTAGGCTTGGGCGACCTGACAGTATCCCAGCCCTCGTGCCTCATTCGTGTGGCATGGCAGCTAGGCACCGAAAGGGAGCTACAACTGAACGGTTAGTAAGCTCGCACCTTAACCACTGAGCTGTTTCGAGCTCACCGACTGAAGGAACACAACAAGAAACTGGAAAACGACATTTCAATGCATCGTCCATTTCTCCGTAGAGGTAGACAATTATCGGTAACATGCCCGGGTGAGTAAGATAAATGCCCTGGTAGCAGACAACTCTGAGAACGAAGGAAGACAGGTTGCGTTGCCCACTTACGGCAACCACCTGAGAGGGATTCGATTTGCCTCAAAGTACTTCCAGAAGTGAAATTGCGCAGACATTAGTAGCAACGATATTCCTACGGAAAGCCCAAAGTAATGTGCACACCACAGAACAGTTGGAAGTTCAGGTGAATACCGACTGTTTGGACTCGGAATGGCATCCATCCGTTGGAAATCGAGGGATGAATCTCATGAGGGAAAGCACGTCAGTGGATGAAATCTCCAGTTCGTGGCACGATCATCCGGAAAAACCAGGGGAAATCGGAAAAATGCGCAGGACATGTCATCGATATACTATCAATATTGTGTAAACCAAACCCAAACAGTGCGAAAAAACTCCCAGCTGTGTCTCGTGGTCAACCGAAAGGACCGACAAGAAGGAAACTACATTGAAAGAAGCACTTGTTATTGTAAAAAAAACTGGCGGAGCATCACAGCAAAGACAGTTATTCAACCAGGCACTTCCCTCAGGGAATAGCAGGAAACGCGAAGATCAGAAAAGATCAACAAAGAAGGAAAGAAACTCAGTGAAAGGCAGGACAAGCGGAATCGGAAAGACAAATGTAGTCAACCAAAAAACCTTCATTTAACAATGCCGATTTATCGGCAACATAGTCCCAGACAATGCCAAAACGATGAAGATTGAGCTTCTCAGCAACACTGATCGAAGCCAGGGAAAATTCCAGAAGAACCCACAATCTGGAGTTGCATGCGTCAGTGGTCACTGAAACATGACAGAAAAGACAGTAACGTTGGAAGAAATCATTTAATAATCAAATATTTTTTCTACTAAGGATTGTATAGCTTCATGAGGCGGTGATAGAATATGAAATAAGTCCTCATTCCCAAATTACCACAGTAAAAGTTGTACACTTTGTGCGGAACAGCAATCCCCATACGGCTGGTGACGGCGTCGATTAAATACGTAATTTTGTGATAGTGTGTCAGGTGACTATTTCAACAGTGAAGAACAGTGAAGAACTCACTTTAGACGGTGTTAGTTGACAGTGACTGTGGCGGTCTGCTTCTATTATCACTGAAGTTCATCACACTCATGTCATTTGGGATTAAACGTAAATCGCTCCGTTTATAAATACCAGGTACAAAGGGGTGTTATTGAATAAGGAAGAAAGATAATCGATCAGCTGTAACATCCTTTCGGTGCCTAGCTACCATGCCACCCAAAGGGAACACGAGGGCTGAGATACTGCTAGACTGCACAAGCCTAGACAGGGAAGTCAAGAGGCAGAAGTCGGGCTCGAACCACAGACCTTCCGGTCAGTAAATTCGCGCTCTAACCACTTGGGCCATCTCGCCCTTCCGGGAACTTTCGGTCAGTAAATTAGCACCGTTATTGAATAGCCTGATCATGGAGGTAGCCGGAGGCCAATAACTCAACAGCAGGAACAGTGATTCCTTTGGAGAAGGAACGAGCAACAGAGAATCAGCTTATATTAATTGTATTCACTATCCAACTATTTTATTTACTAGTCCAAAACAGAACGGGTTATACCCATTAACGAACATTGGGTGAGGAGAAGACCCGTGTCTGACTTGGATTCACCGAACAGCTCAAATCGGAGGGGAACCATTTGGCCACAGATGGCTAACTGGCGTGAAACTTCTTCTACACACTTCAGCTACTGGCTTGTCAAGGGAATAAGAACCACATGTTTTGCACAGCGTCCTAATTTCGGAGCAGATTTATCATATTTCGTAGGTAGTGAGAATATTCTAGAGGTCGAGATCCGGATTTAACAAAGCAAGCGAGGTTAAACTTAAGAAATTCACGTTACCTATCATGCCTTAACACCTATGTTTGTTAGCTCTTTCTTCTCAAGCTTGTTGCGGGTACGAGTACCCGCAAAGGGGCTAGGGAACCTTTTTCAATAAAAACGCGGGGGTGAACATGGATTTTACGACGATAAAAATGTATTGCTACATGTCCAGCAGTCATGAATGCTTGGACCTCTAACCACAAACAACCAGCTGCACTGTGGTTGGAACTTCAGCGCACGCAGTGGTGAGAGTAAAAAGAGCCTTCATTGCTTCTGGTTAAACCTGCTTAAAACTTTGAGGTCCTCGCTGGACGGCCGTAAAGTGTTGTTGGTTTATTCACACAGCTGATCAACTAACGGTGACTTCTCGACCTAACCGCTGAGCTAACTCAACCGCAGTAGGGGCTGATACGATGTTACCTGGATTTGAGCACTTTCTCCAGATTATTATCCCAGTTGACACATGACCTTTTGAAGTCGCAGTTATATACATCGTTCAGCTGCAGCAAAGTGCAACAACGAACACATCTGAATCCGTAAAGATGATTGACTGACCTTTTGATGGTGGAAGTATGAGTCTCTGACTGTGCTCTCCAGTCCCATCATCTCCCAATATCCCCACGTCCAAAAACAAAGATATGGGGGACGATGGACGATCATCGTGTCCCGTAAAAATTCTCGTCAAATCACAGTCAGTGTGCACAAACGATGCAACCGAGATTTGTATGGCGCTTGTACGTGTTAGGTAACAAAGTCCGGGAGCAAAGCTGAATAGTTCACAGTGAAGTTTTTCCGAGAATCGTCTCGTGGGTCGGATCCACAGACAAGTCCCTGAGCCACTCTTCAGGTCAGGACATGCGTACTGGGTCGCCTGTGTATTGAAAAAAGGGAAAAGACATGATGAATTCGATGATAGAGCAACAGCTACACAACACCTATCGGATAAAAATGGATTACTAGACTAGGTGATTCGTGCTTCGAATCCAATTGCGGCCATTTAGCTGTTCCCGACTAATATGATGTGTCAACTATGTGATTCTATTCAGAATGTATCATGGCTATGCACGGCCAAAACTGATTTCTTGTTAAATTATCGTTGGTCGATGGGAATGCGCCTTGGTCATTGCATCAACCTACTTGCTAGGTAAAAATCCCATCTGGCAGGTTGTTTTGAACTTGGCAGGAACCAAAGACTTATATAAAGGAGATTGGAACATTTGTGGTACACGATACGCTAGCAATACAGTGATCCTATATGGCGGTATGACATGGCAGACAGTTGGACTGTTGAGCTACTTATTGGTTGTAAGTAGTGAACTGAATGTCCATGCTGCTCACAAGTGTTGAGGAAGAGGAGAGTGACTCCTTGTTACGTAGTACTGGTGTACCACTTGAAGGGTCAGCAATCAAGTCCCATTAACGGACACCACATAGGAATCCGCGCTATTGATCTGGGCTTTGTAGTGAGCGCTATGAATACGAGAAACTGCCGGATTTAGAGTCTGAAACTATCCCACTGAACGATCGGAGCAGGTTCCACCACTCGAACCCATGGTAACCTTATGCGGCTCGTCGGTTAGTCTGTTTGTTTAGTAGCATTCTTTCAAATTTGTCGGACACACTGATCAGTCGGCAAACCGACGGACAATAAAATGAGCTTATCACTGTGGTTATCAGAAAACTCGACGGTGCCAGTGATGACTTTACACGACCATTGTCCTACAGAGACACTGGATTGTACCGTGATGTGACGGTTTGTGCATCACCATAACCCAGTGAGCTATACTAGAGAGTGTACGCGTGGCACTCACAGAGCCTCTTGCACCAGGTCGGTCAATGGGTAAATGTCTGATTATCAGTTTCCTGCTTTATTTTGGGGGTTGGAACATAAATAGCCACTTGTCCCTTAAAAGAACGGGCTGCTTCGAAGGCTTTAAGCCGAACACCGCTGTCTTGCGGTCAAACTTTTGAGCCTAATGCTTGGGTTGGGGACCCTAATCGTCCTCCTGTCTATGTCCTGGCGCCCTGACAGTACCTCAGCCCACGTACAACCGTGAACTGCACACATAAATAATCTAATATCACACCGGCCGTCGCGTGGCGCCATCAGCCGAGTAGCCTTACTTTCTGCATACATCAGGGAGTATAGATGAAAACAGGCTACTGCTCACACCTCTATTTTTGCTCTTTCACATATTCGTTCTTTTCCTCGAATGTTTGTTGTGGGATAGCCCAAAATATCCCCTGCCTGTCCCATTTTTCTTTCCAGGATAAGGCTTACTGGGATACCGTGTCTATGCTTGGGCAACCTGGTAGTATCCCCCATGCTTCCTTCGGGTGGCATCGCAGATACGCACCAAAAGGGTGCTACAGCTGAACGATTTCTTATTGAGATATATTAATATGGCTGTACAGCAGTCAAACATCAGTTTTCTGATTGAACGTTCCTATCCATGACGATGATGACGTCGTATAGACCAAAACAAGGGAAACAGTTTCTGGCCATAGTACACCATACGGATGTGATCTGGACTGGCTATCAGCTGTTAGCTATCTAAGTCACCGATCTACCCGAAGCAGGCACCCGATTAGCCGTTTAAAAAACTGCGATGCGAGTGCTCTGAATTTGACAGCTCAAAGTGGACATTATTATACTCAGTTGCTAGATCATTCCCATTGGAGTCTGCAAGTGATAAACCTTAGCATTCCAGACATTAGGAGTGCCAGACCGAAAACGGCGTTACAAGTGACTTCTGTAACCATCACTGTGTAAACCGAACCTATTATTGGGTACCACTATAATGGGTGGTGCAAGTCACTGGGCTACCTTCCGCATATACTAAGGATTTCAACTGAGTTTAGTTGTGGTCGCAGGACTTGACAAATAAATAGTTCAGCTGTAACACCCTTTCGGTGCTTAGCCACCATGCCACGCCAGAAGGAAGCACCAGGGCTGGGATACTGCCAGGTTTCCCAAGCCTAGAAAGGGGAAGTCGAGGGGCAGAGGTCGAATTCGAACCACGGACCTTCCGGTCAGTAAATTCGCACTTTAACCACTGAGCCACCTGGCCCCCCGGACTTGACAGATACCGGCCACCTTTTTGGGGCAATCTAGTCATAGAAGTGCCACCCTTCGATCTGATGTTCCCTAGGTTATACCAGGCACATTCAAGCGTAAACCGTACGCGATATTGGGCATTTTATACGGGGGTCTATCCACGTGGTTTGGTATGACGCGCAAATCAAGAAACACGTGTCAGCAACAACAGAACACCAGCAACATGAGTGTGCGCACAACTTCGGGATCTTCCGTGGCCATGGCTAAGATCACCGTCACGTATGACCGGCTCGTGATAGGAGGGTAGTTGGATAGCATCTACTCTCGGCGGTTAAAGATCAGCCGGCTTATCCTCTGAACGGGTTTACAACAGAATGGGATACCTGAAGGAAGAGAGAGCACATCCATGTAGATGCATCACTGGGACAGATAAGCACGACAGCTAAAGTTCTGACGTACCCGAATACGATTTAAGCTTGTTTCATATTCCTTGGCGGAACCTAGATGTGCAGAGCAGTTGCGTCCCGTTGGAATGAGCTACATAGAGAAAACACGGAGAATCGGTTGAGAATAACAGTCTCAGGTACGGAGAAAGCATGAATACACGTCACGTGAACTACATTCAAAGGTACTGACCGAGAGGAAATTTATGATCACCGAAGTAGAAACAAGGCCTCCTCAAATTCGATAACAATACATGTGGGCGAAACTGACTCACAAAAATAGGAGCGAACCGTAGCCCATATTGTGGGTTCGGGGGAAATGTATCCACCCTAGATGACGTTTACCTTGTTTACTCACGTCAGCCAACTTGCCCTCAGACTAGACTCACACCATACCCAGGATTAACAATACGAAGTGTAACCCCAGCAGGATTTTCGAGTGGATCCAGTCCAGTTGGACACACGGTATGGTAAAACACTGCAAGCCGTTCGGCAAAGTGACGTAGGGGCCATAGGTACGGTCAGAGATTTTCGAGTAAATCCATGGTATGGTAAAACACACCAAGCAGATCGACGAAGTAACGTAGTGGCCATAGGTACGGCTCCTCTGGCGACAATCCGTGCAACCGTTGGGAGCAGTTTAATCCACACGATGCTGACTTGAACATTCATGTGAAAACCAGGAGCAGTTTAACCTACTTTATGCTGACTTGAACATTCATGTGAAAACCACTCAAATAAGTACATTAGACGACTGAGTAAAATGCAGTAATGAGGTCATGCCGGAACCGAAAGGAAGAGAGTCAAGCATGTACCACGTTAGGTAAGTCCCTTTCGAACGTTGTGAAGGTCGCACCACATTAAGCAGACACTTTTGAAGATTCATGTTAGGGTTCGCTTTATGGATGAGTCGATAAGGAAGAGGTTGGAAAAACACACTGCTCGATACCAGAGTGAACTGAAAATGAGGCATAGTCAACAATAGACTTTTTAGGTCAGAAAATTGATCCACGTAACCGCAGTCGGTTGAGTTATTTTTATTAAGGCGAGGAAAGATAGCATATCCGCTTGTGCTACCAAAAAAATGTTGGTCACCTGGCGTAAACACCTTGCGTCTTCACACAATTACCCCGTAGGACGGTACCCTCAGGCCATTTGGTAATACGATTAGTCGCACTGAGATTTTCACCTTAAACCTTCAGGAACGGAGTTCTAGACAGCGTGACTAGCAAGGCAACGCCCAAACCCACCACCACGTATATTCTCTTGATCGGGAGAATGCGGACAAGACGCAAACTATATCAAATATCTCTTGGTAACTGAGACGACAAGAATAGGGTCATACATCTGCGGATATAAACGTAGATCGGCTGCAAAAAAACGTCCGACTCTGAGGAATGATTGAACACAGCAAGAACAGTGAAAGGAACTTACGTTTTGACAACGCATGCTGCTGCCATACGCCTGTTTCCCATTGAGCAGCCCCTGTCCTGTACAACAATTTGTCCGCAAAATAACACCGGATGCTTTATCCTCCGAGGTTAAGACGCCTCCTGGAAGAGATAGGATTGTGGGTCGATACAGGGCATAGCAACCCTGAGATGCTCCGCGGATTCGGGTAAGCCACGGTTCTAGGAGAGACCAGAATTTCTCATCCGCCTCACTAATCAACTGATGAGCAGCTATTCGGTCACCAGTCGCTCTGGTTAGGTCACAATTTTCGAAAGGCCAACCAGGGGCAAATAGCGCTACCGAAAGCGGCCTTTGGGGTCGCTTAAGCTGGACAATGGGAATCAAAACAAAACACATGGTAAGGAGCTCAAGCAATGCGCAGTACAAAAGCTTATCAAAATACAAACGAAAAACATGCCTGCGGCACTCGGTTCCTCCACACGCAATCCTGTGACGATATCTTGTCCCAAAATGAACAGAGTTGACATCCATAATCATGATTTGACGCTTATCGCACGCTTCTTGAGGATAGCGGTTTAAAAAAACCAAGCGAATGTATTGATCACTTCTGAGGACGGTTTAATTTGCTGACTTTGGAAGAAGTGAGCCCAATGAAATTTATTATGAACTGTTTAAAAAGTGAAGGCTAGACCGCCACCTTTGGCAGGCCTGAAGACTTACCTTTTAAGATAACCTGTTCTGTCCAACTGTGGAGGTCTATTAACTGGAAGGTGATAAATTTATAGCCAAGCGCGAAGGCTCTGAGAAGCCAACTCAATGGCGTTAACAGGTACTGTCCATCAGGACAGAATGCCTGGAACCTAGAAGGACTAGGTTGGACAAGTCTGTAGAGTTGTTTTCATTGTTGGACATCGTTTCCAAACACCATCGCACCTCTGGTGTCAAACTAGTACAGCTGTCGCTGTCTGGACCTACCACAGTACTCATAACAAAAAAAACCGTCCAGCTGTAGCACCTTTTCGGTCCCTAGCTGCCATGCCACACGAAGGAGGCACGAGGGCTGGGATACTGCCAGGTTGCCCAAGCCTAGACAAGAGAAGTGAACGGGCAGAGGTCGGGTTCGAACCACGGACCTTCCGGTCAGTAAATTCGCGCTCTAACCACTTGGTCCTCCTTCTTGGAACAAGGTTGCTAGAAACTCCTCGAAAGCCCAAAACCGGTTTCGTCCTTCTTGGAACTCATCAGGTAGGCGCAGTTTTGACAGAAGACCCAACTGAATCTCTGGTTTCATGATGGTCGCTTGAGCTTTACGAAGTAGTGCAATCCGAATGATGACCAAAGCGTAAGTCCTTGCGGTTCCCCTACCACAAAATGATATATCTGAAACCAATAACTGGGTACAAAAATACCGCATGGGCTTTCATTCTGAAAGAGTTGTAACAGGTATGCAGGATATCGTCTGTTTTGGTTGTGGTCTTCAGGCGTAAATGCAAGTCAGTTCTAGTACGATTGACTGAGGTCAGTTCTCACCGTAATATACACTTGAAAACAGTATCGCCTTGGTTCAGTTTTACATCTGTGAGCAGTTTACGTGAGTACATTGGTTCGGGTCGGGGAAGCATTATGGCTACGGTTATTGTGGAATAAAGGGAACACAGAGGAATATTTTGGAAAACACAATAGACAAAGTAAAAAGGACGGCGGATTATTGAAGATGAACAAACGACGTGATACAACAAACACATCGTGGTGAGTTTTTTGATATCTCAAACGCGCAGACGATATGAGTTGGTGGAACTGAAGCCATTTGTGATGTTTTTCAAGCACCGTCTCCAGGTCATGTGATGTCCAGCTTGTATTGGAACCTGTATCAACAAACACACGGCACGGCGAGACAATCTATCACCTGGCATAGGGACCACACGGTCAAGGCGGCGTAATTCTCATCAATTGGTCAAGCAGATGATTTGTTCCAAGGCGGCGTAATTGATGCAATTGAATTAACTCATCAATTGGTCAAGCAGATGATTTGTTGAGAAAAACCATTCATCCTACATCAGTATTGCTGATTCCATGATCACATGATACAAAATGTGCAACACATCTAAAGCACCTTGTCGTCAACAGACAGCATCAAGGCTTTACAACCGTAAAGCCAAAAAACCGGATGTGCTAACGCGTTATAGATCATGACTCTTACCGACAGATTAATGTCACGTTGACATCAGAGGTGCCTCAGTTGAAAAAAAGCAAAAAATTGCGAGTAGTACATTACAAATATATACATGTATCGCGATATGTCGAATATCGTAGCGACTGAAACATGAGGCGGCCTGGTGCAGCACATTCAGTTGCCTGAAAACATCACAAACGATAGGTTCAGCTGGGTTCCAGGTGAGTCTGTCGAAAAACCAAATTAGTTTGCAAATGAGTGTATATTCGCTAATTCCGTGCAATTTGGTTTCAAGTAGAACATGAGGTTGACGGAAACTCGGGGACTGCGCCTACCTGATGAGCCCGAACTGGAAGGGCGAAACCGGTCGTGGGCTGTCGACGGATTTTCAGCAACCTTACGAGTAGTACATTACAAAATCAGAACGAGTTTTGGCGTTTCTAGCATTCGCTTCGTTGGCAATGTTGCTGTCCACTAAAATAGGTGGATCAGCCCACTATCTCTAGTGGCTCTAATGTCATGGCCAGCTCTGGTGGTTCACTCAACCAATCTTGCGAAATAGCACTTTGCACTTGGAAGAACTAATTTGCGCGACTTCTCCGGAGAAAAAGCTCACGCCGGAGGTGGAAGACACAGCGAACATTTCTTGAACAGGTAATGTTCGATGAAAAAGTCAAAGTGAAAACTAGCAGCCTCGACAAACACTACTTTTGAGGATCAGCGCTCCGTGGACTTTCATGCACCCACGGGTGCTGGAATATAAGGGGTGGATAGCTAAGGCGAAATCATTGAGTACATATTTGAAGGACAAACCGCCACAAATCAACGCAATCGAGTGAGTCCAACATGATATTTAGACCTAAAAAAGTAACCATTGTCGATCCTTTATGTGTGCGGTGGTGTTCGAGAAACTCCCGCAAGATAGAGATGTGGTCAATGCATCCACCATCTGGCAATCTTGTTGAAAAATATCCACTACTCTAATTGGATTTTCGAGGAAAAAATTTAACAAGTCATTGATTAGTCATCATAACACAAACTAAACAGAACTATGGCTCTGGTGCCCTTCTCAAGATAACTGTAGTACAACACACAGCCAGTTCAGAGAATAAATCACACTTTCCGAGGCAAACGATCACAAAACACGTAAGGAATATTTCTGGAATGAAGGAATACATTATCAAGACTGTTAGCGTAGACTGGCTTCACTTAGATCACGAACTCTCCACTAAAAGTTTCCGAATCTCCGCATACTACCAACCAACCATAATTGGCTCATGGGATGGATGAAATTCATCCAATGAGCGAGACTTGCATCTGGGAGATCGTCACTTCAGAAGCCAGTCAACACGTGTGACCACGTGATTTGGATCCTCTGAATGAAGGATGAACGATGCTATAGCCTGCCTAAGTACGGTCTAACCACTTTCTGCTGTTCAGCCGCTCGTGTCCGGACAGTGGAGTATTCGAACTGCTGGCAGGTTCGAGACTCTCCGGAGTTTCGTGAGATGCGCACTGCTGATGAGTCCCATTAAAGATGAAACAGCTGTACAGTGCTTCCCAGCTTGTCATCATGGAATGCCCTTACATACAAGGCGAAATTCCCATTATTGGTTTTTATCTATTCTTTGCATGATAGTCAAACAGATGTTTTTTAATACGGTTGGACCCAGCACTGTAGGTTTATACTAGACGATTTTAGACCGTATCCTAGACACTACGATAGAAGGAGAAGGAGTGATATAGACAGTGGTTAGAGCGCGAACTTACCGACCGAGAGGTCCATGGTTCGAACCCGACCCCCGCCTCTCGAATTCCCCTGTCTGGGCTTCGGCAACCTGGCAGTATCCCAGCCCTCGTGCATCCTTTGGGTAGCATGGCAATTAGGCACCGAGAGGGTGCTACATTAAACAATTTTTAAATGAGTCATCCACTGAGCTCAGAAATACATAGCACCGTCAGGTTTCTCGCATCCTTCCCCATTGAGCGCATGTAGTTCCAGCTTCTCCTTGGCAATTTGTGAAAAAAAGTATAAAAAACTCGTAAAATTTTATCATTATATCCCGATTATAGGGTAGTCCCACCCAAGTAGTTAGACATCTGTCTGTCCTCCGTGACATTCTTCATAAATATCGCGTGATAAATTCAGTTGCGATCGGAACCATTTGGAATCAGACGTGGTAATTTTTTTCCGGTGCTCTGTTGTTCACGATAGAAAATGTGCTGCAGCTTCGAGAAACATTGTAGCTGATGCATCAAAGTTTGGCGTACATAAAAAAAATCACCAAAGGCGGAAAAAGGAAAGGGGTTAACTCACCATTGCTTCCAAGATAAGCTGAAGAGCAACGTTCGTGTTCCAGCCACCCCCACCCGGACAGCCCCGGCCAAAACAATCGACTCCAACAAACACACGAGATGATGTCTCGGCATCCTGAGCTCTGTGAGAACAAGGCAAGGAGAGGAGAAGTTAACTGAGGCTCATATTTTCAGCCACTTATGCCAGATTATCTGCATTTGAGTGATTCACGGTTGTACGTGGGCTGGAATACTTCCAAGGCACCCGGACCAATGCAACAGGATCGTTCAGCCGTAGCATCATTTTCAGCCATGCCAGATTATCTGCATTTGAGTGATTCACGGTTGTACGTGGGCTGGAATACTTCCAAGGCACTCGGACCAATGCAACAAACAGGTTCAGCCGTAGCATTCTTTCGGTGCCTAG